GATGGATGGATGGATGGATGGATGGAGGACAAGGGAAGGAGCCCAGCTTTGTTTGGTTTTGTTCTTAAATTAAAAAGAAAAAGGGGGGACAGTGCGATTTGATGAGTTTCTGGGAACTCTTAACACTTCCCAGCGCGGGGGGGTTCAGTCCTTGTGTCTCCTTTTGCCTTGTTGTGTTGGCCGGCTCCTTTGTTTATACAGCCCCCGTTCGACCTTTTAAATTGCTGTTAATGTTTTAGCGTAACGAATTAGTCTCTCATCACGAATCAGGACTCGAAATAAAAAAAAAAAAATATATAAAAAAACCCTTCGAGGCCAACTTCCTGAAATTGGGGTCATTCTCATTTGCAAGGCAGAGAATCTGAGAACCTTAATGCAAGGAAATTTATTCAAAGGCAGAGCCCCGGCGTGATTAGGCCCTTTGTAATTATAGCTCGGAGAGATTCCACTCCAGCCTCCTGCCTCCCTCATGGATTAGCAAGTGAGTCGGAAAAATACACAGGATTTAATTAGAGGCAAATTAAAATTGGTAATGAAATAGGGGCAGTAGCAAATGGCAGGGAGTTGGAAGGGGAAAAGGGAGCCGGTATCTCTCGGGGCTGCGCTGTCTGCCTACGTGTGTGTCTCTTTATTTTACATTTAGAAGAAGAAAGGGAGGGAAAGGACCAAAAAGGGAGGGTGGGGGGAAAGAAAAAGAAAGGGAAAGATTAGCTGGCTTTGCCGAGCATCGCCGAGCAAGCTGCAGCGGAGAGGGCGGCTCTGCTCCTGGCGTGACTCGTCCCTTGTCCCACGCTGTCCCCATCTTCCTCGGCGTCTGGCCAAGGCCCGTGAATCGGGGTCGCGTCCCACGTGCGGCTCCTAAACCCTCTCTGATGGTGCTGATGGGGTGAGCAAGCTTTTGCAGCATCCCCGGCTGGCTTTGCAGAGCGTTTGGCTGTAGCCAAGCCGAGGGTGTCCAGGGCAGCCTTGGGGACCTGCAGGGGCTGGGTGAGGAGGAGGATGGGGAGGAAGAGGAGGGGTCCGGGCAGCGGGGCGGGGGCCGTGGGGCTGAGCTCTCCTGCCCGCTCTGCCCACAGAACGCCGTCCGCCACAACCTGAGCCTGCACAAGTGCTTCGTGCGCGTGGAGAACGTCAAGGGAGCCGTCTGGACCGTCGACGAGCACGAGTACCAAAAGCGAAGGCCACCAAAGATGACAGGGTGGGTCCTCCTCTCCCACGGGATGCAGCCCAGAACCCCCTTCCGCTGCCAAGCTCCCCGGCCCCAGGCTGGGAGCGCTCAGCTGTGCATCATTCTGCTTTCTCTCTTTCTGCAGGAGTCCGACTTTAGTCAAAAACATGATTTCAGGACTCGGTTACGGAGCACTTAATGCAAGTTACCAGGTAAGGGCCCACTCCCGTCCCTGGCAGGGATGCAGGGGCACTGGACCTTTGCTGCTCCACGGTCCCTTTTTCCTCTCGCGGTCTCACGTCCTCCGTGCCTTGAACCACCGCTGCTTTCGGTTGCAGGCCGCGCTGGCGGAGAGCAGCTTCCCGCTGCTGAACAGCCCCACCATGATCAACACCAGCTCCGCCAGCGGCATGCTGCACGTGGGCCACGACGACGTGAGCAGCACCGTGGAGCAGGTCAACAGCAATGGCAGCAACAGCCCGCGCCTGTCCCCGCAGCAGTACAGGTCAGCCTGGCTGGGGACGAGGGACGGGGACAGTGGGCGTTACTGGGCTGCTGGAGGGTTTGGAGCTAAGGGACGGGGGCACATCGGGCACCGGGAGCTGCTCGTTGCCTCCTGTGGCTCCCGTCCCCTGGGCAAGGGGCAGCGTAAGGATGGAGGGGGTTTGGGCTGCCCCATGGGAGCTGGAGCTTCATGGGGTTGTGTCCAGCAGCTCCCTGAGGCTGAAGGCTTCCCTCCCCACAGCCATCCAGTGCACGTGAAGGAGGAACCCGCCGAGGCAGAGGACGACAGCAGACCCGTCTCGCTGATGGCCACCACCAACCAGAATGTGACGATTCCCGACGACAGGGACCTGGAAGAGGAGCTGCCGGTGGAAGACTTGTCCTAAGGACCCCTTCCTCCTCCCCACCGAGGGGCAAACCCTTCCCACCCTCCCGGCCGGAGACCAAGCGACAGCTCCCACCTCTCCAAGGTGACCTTCGGCGTTAACCTGTTTTTTAAAGGCACTTCCAGAAAGCAAAAGGGTTTCCTTGGTGCAACAACCTGTTGCTGGCGGCGCATCCCTCCTGCTCCCCACTGCCCTGCGCCGCGGCCCTGGTGACTGACCGACCCCTGCCACGGGGATCGTCCCACGACACGAGAAGCAAAAACCCAAGAGCTGGACTTTTTCTCCCCTCCTGCCTTGGTTAGTGACTGGTGAACGAGGATGGTAGGTTGTTTCTGTCCGAAATGGTCCCTCCTTCCTTCCCTGTGGAAGGCACCTCCGTCCCCTCTTCCCCTGCGGTGCTCTGCCGCCCAGTGATGCTCGAGCCTCCGCCAGTGACCGCCCCGGGGAGGGAAGGCATCTCCGTCCCCCAGTGGGTTTGCACTAGGAGGGACCGTGGCCCCTGCCCGCACCCTGCCTCCACCCAGCTTTGGGGGAAGAAACAGCAGAAACAGGGGCAAGTCCCCTGCCATGGTCTGGACGTCAGGCTTGCACCGTTGTCTCACGGCTGGGGAAGGATGAGGACCAGCACGTCGGTGGGACATGTCCCCTTTGCCTTGTCACCTCCGGCAGGTTGCTGAACCTCCCAGCACGCAGAACAGCCCACCCCGGGTTGGCTGCCCTCCCCGAGCCCCCCTGGTCCTCAGTGATGGGGGGACTGGTGGCACCCAGCAGTGATGACCGTCCCCAGCCGACTGCCAGTGCCGGGCAGCCAGGACACGGCTCCCCACTTCCTTCTCAACATTGCCTGCAGCGGGTGACACCTCTCCCAGCGCACGCGGGGACAGCCGGTGGCCCAACTTCAACTTCAGGGAAAGGCTCCCGGTCCTCCGCGCGCCTGATTCCTCCTCCAAAGCCGGGGCAGGGTCTTCGAGGACGGGCAATGGCGTGGGGAGGCAGCATCCACCACCGCCGAGCCTCCTCCCAGGGGGCACCCGCAGAGGAGCTGGCACGGGCAGAGCCCAGGAGTGAGCCGCTGCTCGGCTCTCCTGGTTAGCAAAGCTGACCCCGGTGAAACGCCGTGGTGGCCGAACCTGGCCGTGGCCGGCGAGCCAAGCCTGCTGCCAGCGGGGCTCCCGCTTCCATCTTTTCTTTTCGTTATCCTTTTGTGTGTGTCCAGATGGGAAGATACCAAAAGATTTCTAGAGACAGAAGGTCCGTAGTTCAGGTGAACAGATGGTATTCATGCCAAAAAAAAAAAAAAAAAATATTAATAATAACGAGAACAACACAACCAAACACCCCTCTTCTCCCTGCTCTTTCTTTCTGTGGTGGTGACGTGGGTACCCAGGGCTGGGCTCCTCCCGGCAGGCAGCCGTGGCCTCCCCGGTACCCCGTGCTGGCCTCGGGGACCAGCACCTTCCCTGGCACGGCCGGGCTGGCACTGGCTGTCCTGGCATGCAGCAGCGCCTCCGGGGGCTTGCTGTGATGGACCTGGAGCTGCTCTCGGTTTTGAGCCCAGCTCAGGGCTCTCCCGAAGTGACCCCGAGTGCTGCTCTGTCCCTCCCTGGTGCCCCCGGGTTGAGATGCTGGCGGTGGGGGCTCGCCGGCACCCTGGGAGCTGCGTTTTGGGTTGGAAATGCAACACACAGCTGTGGGTCGGGGAGGGGGGTGCTTGTTTGTCCCCGTGCATCACCTCTGTGACAGCCCCAAGGGGCTCCTGGCCCTGTGGCGTGGGTCCCCAGGGCAAGCCCGTACCTCAGATCATCCTGCTTGCTGCCTGTTGCATCCTTGATA